TGGCAAAGGTAAATTTGGGAAATTTTAAATTTAAAATTCCCTGTTTTTCCCAAAAAAAATTTTAACCCCCTTTAATAATTTTTTTTAAAACCTAAAACCCAAATTGAAAAATCATATACTGCATAATTTTTTTCATTTGGGAAGACCTAAACATGAAATTAAAGTTTCCCATTCTCCTATAGAAAGGGTTTGGGTTTCAGCATTTAATCCCCAAGGGAAATTACAGGTACCTTTATAAAGGGGTAAAAAAATTTTTTACTTTTAACAAGTCAATGCTAAAAAATATTTTTTTAAACTGTACTTTTATTTGGGTTTTGGGTCTTGTGTATGTGTATTGTCCTACTCTTAAAAAAAGGGGAAGAATTAAAAACCCTTTGGGCTTAAAAAACCAAAATTAAATTAGGGAGTCTGTTTATAAAAAAAAAACAGTGAAAGGGAAAAAAAAAATTTTCTCACTTTAAAGAGAAAATTTACTTGGGATATTTAGAGCTAAAAAACAAATGTTTTCCTTGGGGTGATAATTTTTTTTCTTTTTTTTGAACCGGGATACTTCTTTACCTAGCAAAACTGAAAACACTTTGACCTGAAGAGCATTACCAACATTTTTTTCCCTCTTTACTAAACATCCTGTCCCCTATATGCCCCCCCCTTTAAAATTTTTTTTTTTAAGAGAAATGCACCAATTTTCTATTCACAATTTTTTTACATGAGACTCCTCACAAGAATATTAGGGTTAAAGTTTAATTTCCTATAAATACAAATTTTTTTTTTTTTTTTTTTTAACAATTCGGGGGGGCCCCTCTCCCCCCGAGGGAGGGTGACCCAAAAAAGAAAAAAAAATCCCCAAAAAAAAAAAACTTTATCAACAATTTAACACTTTCACCCACCAAAAACCCCGCCACATTTTCCAAATGGGTTTTTGCAGAGGGGCTCAAATACAACATCTAGAAACATAAACATATAAAAATACACAACATATCCCTCCCAAAAGCCCAAAACCCAAACCCCCCCTTAAAGTGGGAGGGATTTTTTACTTTCCCCTTTCCAGGACTCAATTCCCCACAAAAAAAAAACCGGGTTTTCCCTGAATCCCTTCACTAAAAAAATTTCCCCGCCCCACACTCCCCAACAAAATCTTCCCGGGGGCCCAAAACCAATTTGTCTTTCCCTTCACCTCCTATCTAACACCGGGTCACCACCGCTTGCTGGAAGTCCAAAACCCCCCTTTCCCACAAAACCTCCTTTTTCCCCCCCCTCCCCCAACCCCCTTTTGAGGGCACCCCTAACCCCCCCTTTCCCTTTCCCCCAAAAATTTAATTCTTTTCCCTGTCTTTTACTGTGATCCTTTTTCTCCTAAATGAAACCCAAAAAAAACCCCCCAACAACCCCCTTCTGGGCCCCCCTGACTTAATACTTTTATTAACTCCCCACACCCCCTTTTCCTAATTTCCAAAACTCCGAATTTTCTTTTAAATTTTTACAAAAAACACATTGCCCCTTTAAACCCGGACATCTCCCCTTTCCCCCAACCGTTCCCCCCCCGCTCTGCATTTACCCCCCCAAACTTCACACCCCCTATAAGAGTGTTGGTACTACTAAACTTTCATACATTCCCTTCTTTGCCTCCATAGATAACGTTTTTTGACTCCACATATACCTCAACGCACCACTCACCTTTTTTCCCTCATCAATTCTATGATTAACCTCATCCTTCATAAATCCATCCGCCGACACGTCAACTCCCAAGTATCTGAAAACATTCACTTCTTCCATACTCCTCCTCCCCAATTTGATATCCAATTTTTCTTTATCTAAATCATTTGACACCCTCATCACCTTACTCTTTTCTATGTTCACTTTCAACTTTCTACCTTTACACACATTCCCAAACTCATCCACTAACCTTTGCAATTTTTCTTTAGAATCTCCCATAAGCACAGTATCATCAGCAAAAAGTAACTGTGTCAATTCCCATTTTGAATTTGATTCCCCATAATTTAATCCCACCCCTCTCCCAAACACCCTAGCATTTACTTTCCTTTACAACCCCATCTATAAATATATTAAACAACCATGGTGACATTACACATCCCTGTCTAAGACCTACTTTTACCGGGAAGTAGTCCCCCTCTCTTCTACACACCCTAACCTGAGCCTCACTATCCTCATAAAAACTCTTTACAGCATTTAATAACTTACCACCTATTCCATATACTTGCAACATCTGCCACATTGCTCCTCTATCCACTCTATCATATGCCTTTTCTAAATCCATAAATGCAATAAAAACTTCCCTATCTTTATCTAAATACTGTTCACATATATGCTTCAATGTAAACACCTGATCTACACATCCCCTACCCACTCTAAAACCTCCTTGCTCATCCGCAATCCTACATTCTGTCTTACCTCTAATTCTTTCAATTATAACCCTACCGTACACTTTTCCTGGTATACTCAGTAAGCTTATTCCTCTATAATTTTTACAGTCTCTTTTGTCCCCTTTCCCTTTATATAAAGGGGATTATACATGCTCTCTGCCAATCCCTAGGTACCTTCCCCTCTTTCATACATTTATTAAACAAAAGTACCAACCACTCCAACACTATATCCCCCCCTGCTTTTAACATTTCTGTCATGATCCCATCAGTTCCAGCTGCTTTACCCCCTTTCATTTTACGTAATGCCTCACGTACCTCCCCCACACTTACATTCTGCTCTTCTTCACTCCTAAAAGATGGTAAAACCTCCCTGACCAGTGCATGAAATTACTGCCTCCCTTTCTTCCTTAACATTTAAAAGTTCCTCAAAATATTCTCGCCATCTACCCAATACCTCCATCTCCCCATCTACTAACCCCCCTACTCTGTTTTTAACTGACAAATCCATATTTTCCCTAGGCTTTCTTAACTTGTTTAACTCACTCCAAAATTTTTTCTTATTTTCATTAAAATTTCTTGACAGTGCCTCTCCCACTCTATCATCTGCTCTCCTTTTGCACTCTCTCACCACTCTCTTTACCTTTCTTTTACTCTCCATATACTCTGCTTTTTCTTAAAACACTTCTGCTTTGTAAAAACCTCTCATAAGCTACCTTTTTCTCTTTTATCACACCCTTTACTTCATCATTCCCCCAAATCACTCCTCTTTCCTCCTGCCCCCACCCTCCTATAACCACAAACTTCTGCCCCACATTCTAATACTGCATTTTTTAAAACTATTCCAACCCTCTTCAACCCCCCCACTACTCATCTTGCACTAGCCCACCTTTCTGCCAATAGTCGCTTATATCTCCCCGAACTTCCTCCTCCCTTAGTTTATACACTTTCACTTCCCTCTTACTTGTTGTTGCCACCTTCCTCTTTTCCCATCTACCTCTTACTCTAACTGTAGCTACAACTAAATAATGATCCGATATATCAGTTGCCCCTCTATAAACATGTACATCCTGGAGCCTACCCATCAACCTTTTATCCACCAATACATAATCTAATAAACTACTTTCATTACGTGCTACATCATACCTTGTATATTTATTTATCCTCTTTTCATAAAATATGTATTACTTATTACCAAATTTCTTTCTACACATAGCTCAATTAAAGGCTCCCATTTACATTTACCCCTGGCACCCCAAATTTACCTACTACTCCCTCCATAACATTTTTACCCACTTTAGCATTAAAATCCCCAACCACCATTACTCTCACACTTGATTCAAAACTCCCCACGCATTCACTCAACATTTCCCAAAATCTCTCTCTCTCCTCTACACTTCTCTCTTCTCCAGGTGCATACACCTTATTATAACCCACTTTTCACATCCAATCTTTATTTACTCCACATAATCCTTGAATTAAAAACATTTATAGTCCCTCTTTCCTGCCATAGCTTATCCTTCAACATTATTGCTACTCCTTCTTTAGCTCTAACTCTATTTGAAACCCCTGACCTAATCCCATTTATTCCTCTCCACTGAAACTCTCCCACCCCCTTCAGCTTTGTTTCACTTAAAGCCAGGACATCCAGCTCTTCTCATTCATAACATCCACAATCATCTCTTTCTTATCATCTGCACAACATCCACGCACATTCAGACTTCCCACTTTGACAATTTTCTTCTTCTTATTCTTTTTAGTAATCTTTACAGGAAAAGGGGTTACTAGCCCATTGTTCCCGGCATTTTAGTTGACTTTTACAACACGCATGGCTTACGGAGGAAAGATTCTTATTCCACTTCCCATGGATATAAAAGGAAAATTAATAAGACCAAGAACTATTAAGATAAAATCAAAGAAAACTCAGATGAGTGTGTATAAATAAATGTGTACATGTATGTGTAGTGTGACCTAAGTGTAAGTAGAAGTAGCAAGACATGCCTGTAATCTTGCATATTTATGAGACAGACAAAAGACATCAGCAATCCTACCATCATGTAAAACAATCACAGGCTTCGTTTTACACTCACTTGGCAGGACGGTAGTACCTCCCTGGGTGGTTGCTGTCTACCAACCTACTACTAATACTAATATGTTCATTAATTAACTTCATAACTTTATTCTTGTCCGGGTATTAGTTGCAGTGATACAAGACTGATGCATATACAAAGAATATCAAGAAATTCACTGAGCATAGTGCATAAAATGCACATATTATAAAAAAGCTGGTTTGTAATCCTACCACAATTTTCATGCAAGCCTTTTCTGATGCAAGAGAAAAAAAAATTATAACAGTACAGTACATTCCGTTTTGATACAAATCCTAGTTCTAACCATTCTTCAAAATAAAATTTGATCCTTTTCTTCTTTTGGGAAACAACTGAATTATTTGTTACAAAATTCTACATGCTGGTTTAACTCCCAATTAAGCAGTTGCCATTTAATAATAATGAAAAACAGGCTAAGTCAAAAAGAAAATAGTGGAATGGAGAAAATGGATAGACCAACAAGTATAAATGTAGGAAAAAAGGGGGGTTAAAATTTTACATGGAAAATGAACACTTTTTTTTTTTTTCTCTATCATTTATTAAACAACCTGAGCTGCTTGCTTATATTCCCAGTAACTGACACTAGTAGCTTGTTTACTATCCCAATGTGTTCAGTGTACACAAGCACTTTTTTTTTTTTTTTTTTTTTTTTTTTTTTTTTTTTTTTTTTTTTTTACAGCCTACCACTTCATTCAATGACTAAAGCTAGTCAAACCAGTCTTAATACTAAAAGCTATACTTGCAAAGTATTAAAGACTCTTGGTAGAAAAAAAAATCTACTCCAGTTAGAATCCACATTATATATGCCACTTCATTTATTTAATTGGTAAAATAATTATGGCATTTTAAATATTTTAACTATGTTTAGGAACTAATTTTTTTACACTGACTTGCATACCTGTACTTCACAATTTACTGCAATTTTACTGACAAAGTAAAACTAAGACTGGCACTATTAATTTCATTATAAAAGACTGGCTAAAATAAAACAATTTAACTGCAAACTTTTGAAAATTATGTGAAATTAGTTTTAAGGAGCAGGTGTAAGAAAAGTAACCTTTGTTCCTTAAATGAGCCTACTCTTTTTGTCTTTACAATTTTAATATTCTAAACTAATCATATATGTAAATATACTTAGCTGTCATTCTTTCTCTTGCATCAATAATTAAAACAAGTAATCGAATTTTGTAACAATTTATTCTCGATTCATTGTGAATTTCACTCTTCCTTCCAAAATTTTTGGATTATTCAATTCATTTACTTCTTAAGGAATTTTAATTCACTCTATATTCTATCTACATTTTTTATAAAAGAATAAATCATTTTAATCTGAAACCCTCTGCATCACCTGCTGTCTTAAAACCAAGACCAACCTCATACTTCTTTTCACTTGTCATCTTTAGTGGGTCTTTTATCATCTTTGTCCCTGCTTTTGTCCTGAGCTTTATCTTGGGTATGCTTCTCTGCGGGCACTTTAAAGCCAAGGGTAAACGGGAGACCTGCGGCAGCTGCTGCCCAACTCCCCTTCTCACTTCCTTTGGTTTCTGCCATTTTGCTGCAATATAATGCTTAAGTTATATGCAAATTTCTAAAAAAATAATTAAAAAAATGTAATTAAGAAAAAGTTAAGCTAAGGTTCACTAAGAATGATTAATGATTCAAACTACTATTGTAACAATTCATTCACCAAGTCTTCAACCACATACCACTTTTTGTTAGTTTTATTATTTTGAATGTTAGGCAGTAATCTATGTTCATGATACAGTACTGTCTGTAATTTACATTAGGCATTCAAAGCTTTTACAACCAATTTCACTCTTCTACTCAAAAGCCATAACCTGCCTATGTATTCAGTCATGAAATACACATTAAAATTTAAAACATTCTCACCTTCCTGTTAGAATGCTAACAGAATACCAGTAAATTCCCTGCCACTAACCAACAATAAAGTACACATGAAGACAAAGTTTGGACACGAAAAAGTGGTCGAAAAGTGGTGGAAAGAAATTTACTTAGTTTTAGCAAGACAAATGTGGTGAGAAGGTATGCAGAACATTAAATAGACATCATAACAGAGTAAAAATGGTGAGATGTTACACAAGGTGAAGGTAATGGAGAAAACATTTTAAAATGGGTTAAATGTAAAATGTTAATAAGAACTTGAACTTGAATGATTTGCCAGTACATCCTGGCCTGGGTCTTTTCCAGATGGAAAAGACAGTGATTTCATGCATGTGACAGAAAGGAATGGGATCTGTTTGGAGGAAGGAGCAACCAAAGATAAGTATGTAGGAAGTGGTTGAGGCAATGAGCAGGTTTAAAGCTGAAGAAGAATCAGGGATTGATGAAACTGACATGTTGAAAGCAGATGGGGATAGTTTTGTAATATTTTTCATTTGTTTAATATTGTCAGGGGGTTATGTTCCTGGATACCTCGCAGTTACTGAAAAGTTCACCCATGTATTTTACTCATCACTGAAGAAGGGTGTGTTGGAAAGTGAGGCAGTGCATGTGTTGGTCAGTATTACACTTGCCAACTGCCTTAAGTGTGATGATGCCATCAAACACCATTGTGAATTTCTCCCTCTTATACCATCAAATAGTGCTAAACCTACTAAGGTCATACATCGCTGCAGGGCAGGGGGTTTTGCTGGATTGAAGAGCAGCAAGGATGGAGAGGAGAACAGAGGTAAAAATATAAAGAGGCTGTGAGGGGTATTAAAGGAAGTATCAAGTCTGTACAGTAAATCAGTTGCTGTCAAAATGTCAACAAGGGGGGTGTGAGTCAAAGGCAGGTCTCTCAGCAAGGATGGAAGATAAAGTAAGGGTGTTAGAGCAGTGATGACATAGGAGGTAAATTTCTCAGTGCTAGTTGATAGATCGGACAGTCCAATAGAATATGGCATACCGAAACTGGAACCTGACAATTTTTGACAGTGGAACAGGGTGCCTCTCCATGAGATACCTGCGAGTAAGAAGAGTGTGCCCGATGCGAGACGTGAGAGCATAGTCTCCCAACCTTGCCATCGGTGACGAGAAGATGGCCAGAAACCTAAACTTGGTTTGATAGAATGTAATTTGTTGTGTCATATCAGACAGAACCAATCGGGCTGTGGTTCGTATGTCAGCTTGCATGCGGCCAGCAGTAACAGCCTGGTTGATCAGACCCTGATCCACCATGAGGCCTGGTCTCAGACCGGGCCGCGGGGGTGTTGACCCTCGAAACCTTCTCCAGGTAAACAGTTGCAAAGGTGGTTAGAGATTACAGCAAAATAGTCTGTGAATGCAACACCTCTACATGAAACTAGGAGGTCATGTACTGCTGACCATACAGCAGTGTCTGCCTGCTCACTGCCCTGAACGTCAACATGACCTGGGACCCAACAGAAAACAATATCTTTGTTTTTGCTAGAAATGCAGCATAACCAGGGGATGAGGCGAATCAAATTTTTAATAGCTTGCAAAGAACTAAGGGAGTCTGAGACTACTACAAATGGCGAGACAGGCATAGATGCAATACGGATAACTGCCATGAGAACTGCATACAATTCAGCTGTAAAAATGCTAGCCGAGTCTAATAAATGCCCTTGCACTACACTGTCCAGAAACACTGCTGCAAACCTGACACCATCAGAGGATCTAGAACCACCAGTGTACACTGCAACGGCATGAAAAAAAGAGACCAGAAGTTACTAAGAAAAAGAGTGAGAAGCAACTGTAGGTATTTGAGCTTTCATGCATGGTAGTGGGGAAGAACAGATACAAACTGTCAGAACCTCCCAACACAAGGGAGAAATGTTTTGTTTCAGATGTCTTATCTCCAAATATTACTTCATTTAACTCATAAGCACTGTCATTCATATAGTGTATTTCAAGAGATTTAGGTGCAGGAAATCCAGTGAGCACACTTTTAGTCATGTGCAAGATAGATGAAAAATGGAAATCATAAAATTTAAAAAAAAACAAAAAAATTGTTGATAGATTTCTATAAAAAATGGCATGCCACACTTGCTAAAATGGCAAGCAAAAACAACAAACTCAGCCCATACCAAGAGAATAGCCATATTTCTTTAGTATTGCTCTAACCATTTGCATGATCATTATCATGAGGGTAAAACAAGAGCTTCTGGCATGGGAAGAAATGGAACTATTTTTTACAAAAATCCTATGGCTGGCTTGACTATTCAAATCTATTTTTTGTGTTGTATTTCTTTTTATGTACTGATCTAACCTCACACTGAAAATGTCTAGAGGATCTCACCCAATAAATAACACTGAAAATGTCTAGAGGACTCCACTCAAGATGAGTATGAAAAAAGTTCGTCAATGTGTGCAGAAAAGATATACAGTATCAGAATATATGACTTGCAGGAGAAGACTAGGCAGTAGAAATATTTGTTTGAGTTTTATATGTATTGCAAACATTACACAAGTAAAAATGAGGGAATAAATTTGAAAACACCATGCTGATAGGAAAGGCATAATTCAATGAGCTGAATACGTGTAATGATGGTTTGGTCATATAGGAAGTATGGAACAAGATAAGTTGCCCAAGAGGGTGTGATTCAAGCATGGTGGTATTGAGATCATACCAGGAAGGTGCAGTACTATGTAACAAGATTAGTTCCAGATCTAAGGGGTACAAAGGGAGGCTAAAGGAACTGAATCTAATGATCCTGGAGGATGGAATGACCAAGGGAGATATATAACCTACAAAATATTCTAAAGAATAGGCTGTTTGAAAGGCAGGAAACGTATTGAGGCAAAGCTGGAAGTTAAAAAGATAGATCTGAATCACATGGAAATACTGCATTTCTTCAGTTCCAAGGTGGTTGGGAAGTGGAATGATCTTGATGAAGTATTGGAGGCAGACTCCATGTAGTTTTAAGAATAGGTAAGACAGAGCTGAGGCTAGGAGAAAGTGAACCTGGCAGGTTGAGAAGTGGGGCCAGGAACTGAGACTCAACCCTGCAACCACATGCAGGTGAGTACATACAAACTTCAGTATCCAGTAGACATGTGTGAGCATCTTTGATTGGAATGTAGATAGATAGTATTAGAGATTTGAAGTGTGCTACTGGAGTGTGAATAAGGTAATATCTATGAAGGGATTCAGGGAAATTTCTTACACATACATATATTGGTCTTTACTGCACTCACATTCAATTTCTACACACCCTTTCAAACTCTGATACCAACTTTTTAAAATTCTCTTATAAATATCCTAAAATCATGGTCAACAATTAGGAGCAATTGTAACAATTATCAATTCTTATAGTGATGACAGAGACAACCATTTAATTAAATTTAGCAGATCACCCATCGTTCATCTTAAAATTGGTTGTATGTGAACTGAGAGGCCAACCCCTTTCCTGCAGGTTTCAACTACTAGTTTCAATACACACAACCCAGCAGCTCACTTCAGGGTACATTATCTGCATTCTGATATTTAGGTCACTTCAATATTTTCCTACTAAATCAATTAGTTTAGGCCCCAGCTCCAGCATTTCAAGCCACTAAAAACCTTAACATATCAGTCTTTCTGCCCCTTTCTTTCAAACTTTACTTCTAATTCCACACTTGCATGCCAGCTTCATCATGTCATATTTACACTCAGTTTACATACAATATCAAGCTAATTCTCAGCTGACAAAACATTTATAAGCAGAAGCCTCATCAGTGTTATTCCCAAGGGAATTCTTTTCTAATCAAAATGAGTGCAATTTACCTCAAAATGCAATTTACCTCAAAATACAATACTTGTATAAACACCTCCGACTGAGGTTGGCTGCACTGGAGGTGAACACGGGGAGATACTGTATAAGGAATAAATGCCAGGGTACCTCAGTGTGTACTCGGAAAAAATATAAATTAAAGACATAATTGCATTACATATCAACAATATTTAGTGTAATTATTAATTGAAGCAGATGTTTAATTTTAGTTATATCTATAAACTTGTAGCTCAGTGGTAGTGCCTTAGGCTCATGAATGAAGGACACTTGTTCAAAATCCAGACAATTGTGATTTAGTGCCATTACACCTGTTGCTCCTGTTCAACAAGCAGTAAACAGTATCTGGTTGTTAGCTAACTGATGGGTGTGATAGTATACCTCAGTGGTGAGTTTTGAAATGAGTCATGTTAGATTAACAGCTCTTAGTCTGCAAGTTTAATGTTGTAAAGAAATATAGATACATGTTTATACAGCAGCACTGACTGATAATATTCCTGGCAGCAGAAATATTTGGCCCAATGAGAGGTTTCCAGAAAGTTATTGCATTATATTTTTACAAAATTGACACTGGTTTAAATGTTTAAATCATAGCAAAAAGCAATGGATAACAGAAATTTTACTGTATTGTGCATTCTACCGTATTAATTAACTTTCAATGAAAAAATTCTTCAAAAATCTTTTCCGTTGTGTTCTAAAAGTAAAGATGGCTAAAAAAATGTCCTCATCAACACTTAGTTTTCAAAGAGATTACAACATGCAATAAAGCTGATTATTCTTTCTTTCACAAATGCATTCACACCAAAAAGACAATTACACACCTGAATTGTCTACCTATTACGGGTTGCATGAAATAAAAGAAATTGTGAAACAAGCAACCAAACATAATCATAATTGAAATCTATACTATCATTTTTATGAATCATTAATTGTGCAAATAATGTTTTCTAATACAATTTAGCAAATATTTTCATTTAAAAATTTAACACTTTTTCCAAGAGATATTGTAATGTAAATTTTTGAAGCAACACACTTATCTCTAATATAAATATCAGAAGTTGAACTAGGCATCTAAAAATATATTTCACAAAGTCCATTTAACAAAACTTCTTTCTCCTCTCTCAGCAAGTAAAACCCTGGTAAAACATATCAGTAGAATGAAGAAATCATTAGTCCAGAACAAAATAAAACTGAGACCATATTTTATCTATGAACAATATCTGTGTAAACAGTCGTAAATGTTTATTTTTAAACTGAGAATGAAGTAAAAAGTAAAATAATAAATGTGTCCATGGAGAACAATATCAATTTTTCTTTAAATACTGATGTACTAGTATTTTTACAGTTCAATATTGGACATGCAATACAAGCTATGCTACACATTACACTCTTGTCTAGTAAGACTGGATGGCAGAGTGCACTGTGAATATAAAGTAGTCATGATAAAATGGACAGATGAGCAAAACTCAAAGACTAATGGGTTAAGAGATTAGTACTGGCAAGCAATGTGTACACTGATTCATGCAGTGCAGCCTCCTGAGGATCTCTTCACAGTTGTGTAGTCTACCTGTGAGTGATCAGGTTTGTGCCCTGGATTATTTATTGAATGATTTTCCAACAGATTAATGCTCTTAACCCCTATCAGCTCTTTGGCCTCACAGAGGTCTTGCATGTCAAGAAAATTAATTTTTTAATAATAAAGTAGTGCACATATTTATGTACAATTACTATTACATATTTAATTTTTTTAAATTTAAATGTTGGAGAATCATACCCACCATTAACTACTAACAGTACAAACTAATACAATGTATGTGCATTTACCGAGTCAACCACCGCAAGCTCAAATTCAAATGTGTAACTGTTTTGCATTTTTTAAAAATTGTAGAGGAAATCTCCACGAACCCTTTTCTCCTAAAAAAAGGTACCGACTGATATACTAGCAGTGTTCTGCTGATGGCTTTGAGGTGGTGGTGATCTTACTTCATGCGTGCGATGAGCCTTGCAGTGTTGAGGGCGGGGATGCAAGGTACCTCTGTTCCGCCGTCGCTGACATAGCCGCTGGTGTTGTCGCTGCTGACACCATTCTCCCCCTCACCAGCTGCAGGCCCTCCTCCAGATAATGCTCCACCAGCTGCAGAAGATGTACCACTTATCGCTGTACCGGATGCCCCCAGAGACTCGGGTTCTTCAGCCCCAGATAAAGGTCCTTCTTCTAAAGTCATATCAGAAAGTGACACAGGGTCTAAGGAGAGGTCACACATTGATGACTCACTTAAATCCTGAAATAAATTATTCTACAATAAACAAAAAAAAAAAAATTTAACCTTTTATATTATAAAAACAGAAAATGTACAGTATCAAATGATAGGGCAGATTTTGCTCCATGAGTGAAATGTGATGGTAGAACATAATCACAAATGCTTACAAGGTAGAGGAAACAATATTGGCATTTTAAGTGGTTCTTTTCTTTGTTTACAATCAAACTAAAGAAAATGTGGTAGTTTAACACTGTTCACCATATTGCACTTGCAATTAAGCAATTTTTGAACCTTGTTTATCTGGATAACGGATAAAGAGAAACCCTAGCTTAACTGGAGATACCACCAACTCCTATCCATTGCCAGTTAACCATAAATTCCTCTCTCAGCTGTATGAGATGAATTACCCATTCCACAACACTACTCTAACTCCTGAATAAATAGCTTAACATAGGTTTCTTGGTTACAATTATTCTGGATGAAAAAGGTACAATTTTAAATGGAAAAAATCCTTCAATAATGCAATTACCAAAACAAAGTGCAATATTTTAACCTTTTCAGTGGCTGCCATGGTCATTCAGGCCAGGGTCCCTTGTGTAGTTCTATGTCATGAGATCAGCTCATTCAGATAAGCTGTGAGAATGGGCTTGTGCACAGTGTGCAAAGTATAAAAAAAAAATCCTGCCCCATGCAGTGCATGATGGGAAAAACAGAACTCTGATCTTGCGTTTGATTTAATATAAAGCCTCTCTTCACTCAGCGATGTACTTGTTTACCAACGATTCAGACTTACGACAGGCTCTCTGACCAATATTCATAACTAAATAATGTATATTAGAGCTAATTTCCTCTATTCTGTTTATTTCAATATACTGTATTACATACAGTACACTACTGTATAAACATTTAAAAATATACCAGAAATGTTATAAATGGTGCATTAAAACAATAAGATGGTTGACACAAACTCACTACCATTATAGTATGCTCCTCACTTGGCAATGAATTTGTTTAACGACGTGGTCTCAGGAACAGAACTCCGTCATTAAGTGAGGAGAGGCTGTAGTGACTTCGTTGTGTTTTCTAGGATGTTTTATATGGTTTAATTGGCTGTTTCTTGGTATCACTTGATACAATTAAAGAAATAAAGATGTTCGTGTTGGTTTCAGAACTTAACAGCAGAAACAGTTGATTTTTGGTGATTTTTCTGAGGACGGGTAAGGACCCCTTACACCCCTGGTCTGTTTTGTGGGTCTTTTACTAGGTCTGATTCAATGACTAGGATGCCGTAAATCATAAGAAAAAAATCATCCCTGATTACATTTTATTATCTGATAAATAAGGTAAATCTTTGATTTTTTGTGTGATGAAAAATTTAAAATGGAAAGTAAGTGTAATATAGGAGAGGCCTGGGAACATGATTAATGAACAGAGGAAATATTTTTATTACAAGTGGGCAGTTGTTTCAGGTGGCAGTGCTCAATCAATAGAAAGGAATGTATACTACTGAAAGAGCTAAGAATTTGGTCGAATTGAGCAATAGGACTCAAAGTCAGCGAAACTGCCAATGTGTAAATTGTGCCCAGACTGCTAACTTTGTAACTTTGTATCTGTGTAATTCCACAAGTTTTTTTATCAAATTTCATATGCTTTGGTGTCAATTTCTTCAAAAAAGGATTCTCTACCATTTTAGAATCCTTCCTGAAGAGGATCAGGAGTATTTACGAAGGGTAAGGGTGTGTAGACCAAGAGTTTATATTGCAGCATATAAATGTGCAATGCACAGATAAGGGTAAGGAACTGTTTGTCGCATTTAGGAATTTAGAAAAGGCATATGATAGGGTGCATAGGGAAGTCATGTGGCAGATGTTGCAAATATATAATGGGAGTGAACATACCAGCAGATGGGTCCATAAAAAAAAGGCGAGCCATAGAATAGACGAGTAAAAAAGTGGGTGGTGTGTTGAGGTATGTGGAAAAAAAAGGGTACTTATCTTTTTTTTTATTATCACACCGGCCGATTCCCACCAAGGCAGGGTGGCCCGAAAAAGAAAAACTTTCACCATCATTCACTCCATCACTGTCTTGCCAGAAGGGTGCTTTACACTACAGTTTTTAAACTGCAACATTAACACCCCTCCTTCAGAGTGCAGGCACTGTACTTCCCATCTCCAGGACTCAAGTCCGGCCTGCCGGTTTCCCTGAATCCCTTCATAAATGTTACTTTGCTCACACTCCAACAGCACGTCAAGTATTAAAAACCATTTGTCTCCATTCACTCCTATCAAACACGCTCACGCATGCCTGCTGGAAGTCCAAGCCCCTCGCACACAAAACCTCCTTTACCCCCTCCCTCCAACCCTTCCTAGGCCGACCCCTACCCCGCCTTCCTTCCACTACAGACTGATACACTCTTGAAGTCATTCTGTTTCGCTCCATTCTCTCTACATGTCCGAACCACCTCAACAACCCTTCCTCAGCCCTCTGGACAACAGTTTTGGTAATCCCGCACCTCCTCCTAACTTCCAAACTACGAATTCTCTGCATTATATTCACACCACACATTGCCCTCAGACATGACATCTCCACTGCCTCCAGCCTTCTCCTCACTGCAACATTCATCACCCACGCTTCACACCCATATAAGAGCGTTGGTAAAACTATACTCTCATACATTCCCCTCTTTGCCTCCAAGGACAAAGTTCTTTGTCTCCACAGACTCCTAAGTGCACCACTCACTCTTTTTCCCTCATCAATTCTATGATTCACCTAATCTTTCATAGACCCATCCGCTGACACGTCCACTCCCAAATATCTGAATACGTTCACCTCCTCCATACTCTCTCCCTCCAATCTGATATTCAATCTTTCATCACCTAATCTTTTTGTTATCCTCATAACCTTACTCTTTCCTGTATTCACCTTTAATTTTCTTCTTTTGCACACCCTACCAAATTCATCCACCAATCTCTGCAACTTCTCTTCAGAATCTCCCAAGAGCACAGTGTCATCAGCAAAGAGCAGCTGTGACAACTCCCACTTTGTGTGTGATTCTTTATCTTTTAACTCCACGCCTCTTGCCAAGACCCTCGCATTTACTTCTCTTACAACCCCATCTATAAATATATTAAACAACCACGGTGACATCACACATCCTTGTCTAAGGCCTACTTTTACTGGGAAAAAATTTCCCTCTTTCCTACATACTCTAACTTGAGCCTCACTATCCTCGTAAAAACTCTTCACTGCTTTCAGTAACCTACCTCCTACACCATACACTTGCAACATCTGCCACATTGCCCCCCTATCCACCCTGTCATACGCCTTTTCCAAATCCATAAATGCCACAAAGACCTCTTTAGCCTTATCTAAATACTGTTCACTTATATGTTTCACTGTAAACACCTGGTCCACACACCCCTACCTTTCCTAAAGCCTCCTTGTTCATCTGCTATCCTATTCTCCGTCTTACTCTTAATTCTTTCAATTATAACTCTACCATACACTTTACCAGGTACACTCAACAGACTTATCCCCCTATAATTTTTGCACTCTCTTTTATCCCCTTTGCCTTTATACAAAGGAACTATGCATGCTCTCTGCCAATCCCTAGGTACCTTACCCTCTTCCATACATTTATTAAATAATTGCACCAACCACTCCAAAACTATATCCCCACCTGCTTTTAACATTTCTATCTTTATCCCATCAATCCCGGCTGCCTTACCCCCTTTCATTTTACCTACTGCCTCACGAACTTCCCCCACACTCACAACTGGCTCTTCCTCACTCCTACAAGATGTTATTCCTCCTTGCCCTATACACGAAATCACAGCTTCCCTATCTTCATCAACATTTAACAATTCCTCAAAATATTCCTTCCATCTTCCCAATACCTCTAACTCTCCATTTAATAACTCTCCTCTCCTATTTTTAACTGACAAATCCATTTGTTCTCTAGGCTTTCTTAACTTGTTAATCTCACTCCAAAACTTTTTCTTATTTTCAACAAAATTTGTTGATAACATCTCACCCACTCTCTCATTTGCTCTCTTTTTACATTGCTTCACCACTCTCTTAACTTCTCTCTTTTTCTCCATATACTCTTCCCTCCTTGCATCACTTCTACTTTGTAAAAACTTCTCATATGCTAACTTTTTCTCCCTTACTACTCTCTTTACATCATCATTCCACCAATCGCTCCTCTTCCCTCCTGCACCCACTTTCCTGTAACCACAAACTTCTGCTGAACACTCTAACACTACATTTTTAAACCTACCCCATACCTCTTCGACCCCATTGCCTATGCTCTCATTAGCCCATCTATCCTCCAATAGCTGTTTATATCTTACCCTAACTGCCTCCTCTTTTAGTTTATAAACCTTCACCTCTCTCTTCCCTGATGCTTCTATTCTCCTTGTATCCCATCTACCTTTTACTCTCAGTGTAGCTACAACTAGAAAGTGATCTGATATATCTGTGGCCCCTCTATAAACATGTACATCCTGAAGTCTACTCAACAGTCTTTTATCTACCAACACATAATCCAACAAACTACTGTCATTTCGCCCTACATCATATCGTGTATACTTATTTATCCTCTTTTTCTTAAAATATGTACTTATCTATAGAGACAAAATTAAATGTGCCAAAGTATAGTGGTACCGATACTTTTATATGGGTGAGAGTCATGGGTTTCGAATGCTACAGTAAAGAGGAGGCTAGAGGTAGTGGATATATTTTGTTTGAGAGTAATGCATGGCATGAATATCATACAAAGAACTCAGAGCATAGCCATTAAAAGGCAATATGAGGTGACCAAGGATATAATTCAGAGTTAAAGAAGGGTTGTTGAGGTGGTTTGGGAATGTAGAGGGGATGGAGAGAGTTAGGTTGACAGAGAGGGTGTATAAATTTGGGGTGGAAGTTAGAAGAAAAAAGGGTCATCCTAGAAATGGCTGGAGGGAGGGACAAGGCTTAAAAATTATAGGAGGTTGAGCATTCAGTAGGCTTGTGTGAGCATGTTAAAATTATACCTTATCTGCAACATTAGTCATAGACTGGGCCTCCTTCTTGGCATCTTCAGCTAAATGTTGAGTGTAGAGGGAAGGTCGTGGGGCCAATGGAGGTCTATAACTACCTGCAAAACAATTATAATCATTAAGATCTCATACTGTTTATAGTAGGCATATAAACAATGTACTGTGCAAATAAAGAGACACTACAAACGTAATAATTCTTCTTTCAACAAACCGGCTGTATCCCACTGAGGCAGGGTGGCCCAAAAAGAAAAACGAAGTTTCTCTTTTTAAATTTAGCAATATATACAAGAGAAGGGGTTACTAGCCCCTTGCCCCTGGCATTTTAGTCGCCTCTTACGACACGCATGGCTTACGGAGAAAGAATTCTTTTCCACTTCCCCATGGAGATACGTAAAAATTATACTAAAATAAATCTGCAATAAACATAATCTCACTCTTCATAGGACTGGAATTATTTAAAGAATGTGGATGCTGCAAATGGTTAACAGGACGATCATGGTCTGGGATGCCAGTGTGTGCCTGTAGTGATGAAATGCCATTGTGTGTTGGCAGGTTTGACTGCAGCAATGTTGCCATATCTAGCTGCAGTGTATCCAGAACACTTGAAGCAATGGGTAGAAGTGGCTTTCGAACCATACGGTTTGACTTGTGCCTTGAACCTGTCAACATGAAATAAACAAGATTAAAACTTGATCATGGCTTCTCTCAATGGTATGTACCACTAATGTTTTCAATGATAAAGAGTGAGAATAAACAGCAATACTAGTGATGCAACACAGACATGATAATACTTTTATTGCAACATAAATCTGGTGTTAAAGGAAAACTCAGTAAGAAGGGACTATACAAAATAAATAATGTGAACTGACAATATTAGAGAAAGAAATACTAAAAGCTACAATAATACAAAGTCAAAATTTTCAAGGTAAAAATAAAAAAGAAAACAAAATACTAAATGTGAAGACATATAATCTACTGTTTAATACATAACACATAAGAAGTTGAGAACATAAATGATGGACTGTATAATATACATGCAGAACTCAATACAAAGCAAGGGATTCTAGTTACCACAAAGGAAAAACATAGATTATGAGGCTGGAGCAGTAAACAAATAAGCAATCAAATTCTTCAGTTTAATAAAATACAGTATCATTTTTATGTTGGGAACTGGATTAGTTTAAGCATAGGAATTAATCTAAAATAGACCTCAAAGTGAACAAATCACTTGCATAAAGAGTGCCCTGACCTCCAATTTATGCCTCCACAATTCTGTAAGATTTAAATAAAATTTAGCATTTTTTATATCATTACCTTCAGAAAAAGATTCTCCCACATTATTTTAGAAGGAAAACTTTTTCAAAATGTCAATACAGAAAAGGCTTTCAATCTCAGGGCTGCTGACAATTAAAGGGTTAAAATAGCAGTTACAGAGAGGGCAATCCACTATCAATACTAGACTTCTTTTTTTTTTAACACAACGGCAGTATCCCACCAAAGTAGGGTGAACTCAAAAGAAAAATTAGTTTTTTTTTTTTTTTAAACTAAATAATTTATATAGAAGGGGTTACTAGCCCCTTGCTCCCAGTGAATACTAGATCTGGTATTTAATAACAAAAGAGGCAGATATTCTCGGTACAAATGATCTCAACCTACTTTGAAAAAAGTGATCATATTCTATCAGAAATAACATAGTATGTTGCAAGACATAACTTTGGGGTGGAAAGGAAAAACAGGGTCAATCTCCTGAAGGAAAATATGATCTAAGACAACATTTCAGAATAATGTAATGTAATATAAATAGCATATACAAAGTTCAGCTATATACCTGAAAAAGTAAATAAACAGTTCACTACAAAAGAAAAATTATGAGAATGACAAATTTATGAAGATTATTTATCAACTAATTTTTACAACTCATATAATGACAAAACAGAGAAAATGTGAAGCATCAGCACCACAAATTAATGACTAATACTAACTTATGCCTCCCAGGCCAGGTTTGCTCCAAGGTCTACGATGATCAGGGCCACCTCGTCCCTGCATCTCTAATAAGTGAAGCAGCATCATTTCATCACCCTGAGGTGAACTCAAGTCCGATTGAATGCTGAAAGAGAAAAAAAAAAATATCAACTTCCAATGTTGTAAAGTTCCCATGTCTTGCCTCTTAAACAGCCTATCCCTAATTACCTTATTAATTCCCCCTGAGTATTTTCTATGTTATCATATCTCCCTTGATTCAGTCAGTAATATGTGCTCACCCATATGGGTGAGTGCATATTAATGACAAGGAATAGGAGCACAAGTGAAATTCCTTGGAGCAGAAGCCCCCCTCACTGACTTCAAGGAACTTCCCTTGATGGGTCTACTATATGAAATATATAGTACAGTACTATACTAAAATTTTCTGAAGGACAACACAGTCATATACTCTACTACTGAACTGCATTAAGGAGAACCCAATTTTTCTTTTATAAAGTAGCAAGTTCACCTGATATTTACTGCATAAAAAATGAAACTGTTAGATCCTCCTTAAGCGAATTATTTCAGCATAACAAGAATGTGTAAAAATAGAAACTTGAAAGTGAATATAGAAGAGTAAGATAATGAGGGTATCAAACTACGTATTTAAATAAAGAAAAATTGGATATCACATTGGAGGAAGGGAGTATGGAAGAAGTGAACGTTTTCAGGTAACTGGGAGTTGACTCGTCAGCGGATGGGTTTATGAAAGATGAGGTAAACCACAGAACTGATGAAGGAAAAAAGGCGAGTGGTGCGTTGAGATATCTTTGGAGACAAAGAACATTATCCATGGAGATAAAGAAGGGAATGTACGAGAGTATAGTGGTACCAACACTTTTATATGGGTGTGAAGCTTGGGTTGTAAATGCTGCAGCAAGGAGGCAGCTGGAGGCAGTGGAGATGTTGTGTCTAAGGGCAATGTGTTGTGTAAATATCATGCATAGAATTCGTAGTGTGGAAATTAGGAGGTGCGGAGTTATTAAAAGTATTAGTCAGAGGGTTGAAGAGCTGCTGTTGAGGTGGTTTGGTCATTTAGAGAGAATGAAACAAAGCAGAATGAATTGGAGAGTGTATAAATCTGTTGGGGAAGGAAGGTGGGGTAGGAATCATCCCCAAAAAAGGTTGGAGGGAGGAATTAGAAGAGGTTTTGTGGCCAAGGGACTCTGACTTCCAGCAAGTGTGCGTAAGCGTGTTAGATATGAGTGAATGGAGACAAATGGTTTTTGGGACCAGACAAGCTGTTGGAGTGTGAGCAGAGTAATATTTTGTGAAGGGATTCAGGAAAACCAGTTAGCCGGGCTTCAGTCCTGGAAATGGGAAGTACAATGCCTGTACTTTAAAGGAGGGGTTTAGGATATTGGCAGTTTGGAGGGACATCTTAACTGTCGTATCTGAGTGTGTCTGCAAAGACAGTGATTATGTATGAGTGATAGTGAAAGTGTTGAATGATAATGAAAGTTTTTTCTTTCTTTTTGGGTCACGCTGCCTCAGTGGGGAAAAAAAAAAGCAAAGTATTTATGCTCAATGTAAAAAATATATGTTCAGTATTAACAAACATACCTATATTGTACAAGAGACTTATTCCTCTTGGTTACCATATGGTAAGTACAGAGCCTTACCAACACAGTACTGTGGTTTGGTCTGCAAGATTTGTGTTAGTTCCATGAAGAAAGTATTAGTAATTATGTAATGCAAAAACCATAAGCAAATACATATATATGAATGATCTCTAATCAAGAAATTATACCTCATTACCCTAACAGAGCAATAAATTTTGACCAGTGGTCACATAAGTATAAAAAGGAAGCCTGTTAAATGTTTTACACTGGTAGGATTGCACCTCTTTTTCTTTCAATCACAAGTTCTATCAAGCTGAGAGGTAAATCATACGAGCTTCTTACATTCAGTATACACTAATCTTTGCCTTCCTCTGTATTCCTTGCTAGTTCTTATGCCTACAACATTTTCTTTGTGTAGACCTTTTTTTTTCCCAAAAGTCACATGTTGCAGAAGGTAACCAAAATGCTAGAAACAAAGGATTATTAACCCTTTCTCTTTATGCAACCAAAATATGAAAAAGTTTAAATATAAAAAAGTTTAACGTTGAGTGACATAAAGCATTCTTGCCTAAGGCCCACCTTTAGTGGGACTTAGGCAAGAATATGTGATGTATCTGCTACCTACCCAACCTAAGTTCAAAATCTATAACTTTTAACAGCTTACTACATATTCCATATCACTGCATAACCTCTTTAAATGGAAAAAAATTATTAAAGCTTTAGACAAGAATATAATGTATTAGTAAAACATTCTAACCTTCCTACTGCACCCAACTGTTCTGTTAGAGAGTCCAGATCCGAGAGGAAACTGGAGCTATGTGACCGGCTATGATTAAGAATTGGCCCCTCATGCAGTGCTGAGGCTTCATGGAGACTTGCTAGAAGTGAAGAGGCAGCCGAGTGCTCCACGTCATTGTCTCCACTCATCGTTTCATCATCAACGTCATTTTCATCATTACTGGCATACTCAGCTGTAGCAGCGCTCTGATCTGCACCTTCCTCTTGCTCGTTGAGCTCACCCTCACTTAAGTCCTACGGGGAGAAAACCTACAATTTAAAAAAAATTAAATACATAAACATGATTTTTCTTCTTCTATGTGATCAATTTAAAACTAAATTTTATGTAATGTATACTACTACTAGTAAGAATAATATAATAAAAAATTAATATTTATGGATACTGTAATTACATAGTAGATGTTGAAATATAAGTAGAGATAACTATAAAAAGAAAACACTAACATTCATGTGAATGATGTGTTACAGGCTTGGATTTTAGCTCATCTAATTGCCTGTTAACAAAATTATTGAACAGCACCTACTTCTCATGTATACAGCCCCATTATTCATATTTAGCATGAATTGTCCCTTTTAAAATCTTCCATACATATTTAAATTTTCACACTAATCATGTAAATTAAGCAACACGTAAGTCTACCTACTACCATATTTCAAGTGTGTGAAATTGTTGCCACATTACCAATAAACCGATATTAACCCTTTGACTGTCACGGCCGTATATATACGTTTTACGAGGTGCCGTGTTTGACGTATATATACTCATAAATTCTAGCGGCTTCAAATCAAGCAGGAGAAAGCTGGTAGGCCCACATGTGAGAGAATGGGTCAGTGTGGTCAGTGTGCACCATATAAAAAAAATCCTGGAGCACGCAGTGCATAATGAGAAAAAAAAAACTCCAACCGTTTTTTTTAATTAAAATGCCGACTTTGTGGTCTATTTTCGTATAGTATTTATGTTTGTATTCTCGTTTTCTTGGTCTCATTTGATAGAGTGGAAAACATATTACAGAAATAGAGATGTTTGTGATTGATTTTAATATAAAAAGAACCTAGAAATGGAGCTCAAAGTAGGGGAAATGTTTGATTTTTGCCAATGTTCAAAAGTAAACAAATGATGCCATTGTCCAATAAATGTCCAACTAGCCATTCTAATATGCAGTCATGAATGGGTTGAAGTTATTTATACAGTTATTACAGCATTGCAGTAGTCTGCATAATAGTAAGTCTAATATTTTTTGTTTGAATAAAAATTCAAAATAGAAAGCAAGAGTAATATCAGAGGGGCCTGGAGACGTGACTGATGAACAAAGAAAACGTTATTTTAGAGCCTGGAATGTCTACATTGTTCATTCTGGACCTTATTTTGAAATTGTCATATTTTTTAGTTTTCGTGAAATTGGCCAAATTGCAAATTTCTGACCACATTATTAGGTAGTTGAAATCAGTAAATAGGCAGTTTCTTGTACTCAATCGATAGAAAAAATCAAGTTCTAAAGAAATAGCTATGAGTTTGGGCGACTAGAACAATGGAATTAGCCGAAAATAGGGCTCAAAGTGGGCGAAATCGCCGATTTGTAAACAGCGCCGAGGCCGCTAACTTCGCGAGAGCATAATTCCGTCAGATTTCCATCAAATTTCGTTTTTTTGGTGTCATTACAATTGGGAAAAGATTCTCTATCATTTCATAAGAAAAAATAATTTTTTTTTTTTTTTAAATTTTGCGACACCAGGAGACACCTCAGGATTGGGGGTTGCGACAGTCAAAGGGTTAAGTAGTAACATGGTGGTCTCGCTTGCCTGAAGTAACAAGAAGTATACACAAACTACTTGCTTAAATTTATTACCAAGATACAAGTTTTATTCTTCAAATCAACAGTACTTAAATTTTAAAATTCTGCATCTTGTTTTGCTATACGTATCACAAAGATGTTCCTATACATATGACATTATGTATAAGCTGAACTACCCTAGAAATTTATTTAATTTTCTTTTATGTATCAACTGATATATATATATATATATATATATTTTTTTTTTTTTTCAACAAGTCGGCCGTCTCCCACCGAGGCAGGGTGACCCAAAAAAAGAAAGAAAATCCCCAAAAAGAAAATACTTTCATCATCATTCAACACTTTCACCACACTCACACATTATCACTGCTTTTGCAGAGGTGCCCAGAATACAACAGTTTAGAAGCATATACGTATAGAGATACACAACATATCCCTCCAAACTGCCAATATCCCAAACCACTCCTTTAAAGTGCAGGCATTGTACTTCACATTTCCAGGACTCAAGTCCGACTATATGAAAATAACCGGTTTCCCTGAATCCCTTCACTAAATATTACCCTGCTCACACTCCAACAGATCGTCAGGTCCCAAGTATCATTCATCTCCATTCACTCCTATCTAACACGCTCATGCACGCTTGCTGGAAGTCCAAGCCCCTCGCCCACAAAACCTCCTTTACCCCTCTTTCCAACCCTTTCGAGGACGACCCCTACCCCTCTTTCCTTCCCCTATAGATTTATATGCTTTCCATGTCATTCTACTTTGATCCATTCTCTCTAAATGACCAAACCTCCTCAACAACCCCTCTTCTGCCCTCTGACTAATGCTTTTATTAACTCCACACCTTCTCCTAATTTCCACACTCCGAATTTTCTGCATAATATTTACACCACACATTGCCCTTAGACAGGACATCTCCACTGCCTCCAACCGTCTCCTCGCTGCTGCATTTACCACCCAAGCTTCACATCCATATAAGAGTGTTGGTACTACTATACTTTCATACATTCCCTTCTTTGCCTCCATAGATAACGTTTTTTGACTCCACATATACCTCAACGCACCACTCACCTTTTTTCCTTCATCAATTCTATGATTAACCTCATCCTTCATAAATCTATCCGCCGACACGCCAACTCCCAAGTATCTGAAAACATTCACTTCTTCCATACTCCTCCTCCCCAATTTGATATCCAATTTTTCTTTATCTAAATCATTTGATACCCTCATCACCTTACTCTTTTCTATGTTCACTTTCAACTTTCTACCTTTACACACACTCCCAAACTGATCTACTAACCTTTGCAATTTTTCTTTAGAATCTCCCATAAGCACAGTATCATCAGCAAACAGTAACTGTGTCAATTCCCATTTCGTATTTGATTCCCCATAATTTAATCCCAGCCCTCTCCCAAACACCCTAGGATTTATTTCTTTTACAACCCCATCTATAAATATATTAAACAGCCATGGTGACATTACACATCCCTGTCTAAGACCTACTTTTACCGGGAAGTAGTCTCCCTCTTTTCTACACACCCTAACCTGAGCCTAATTATCCTCATAAAAACTCTTTACAGCATTTAGTAACTTACCACCTATTCCATATACTTGCAACATCTGCCACATTGCTCCCCTATCCACTCTATCATATGCCTTTTCTAAATCCATAAATGCAATAAAAACTTTCCTACCTTTATCTAAATACTGTTCACATATATGCTTCAATGTAAACACTTGATCTACACATCCCCTACTCACTCTGAAACCTCCTTGCTCATGCGCAATCCTACATTCTGTCTTACCTCTAATTCTTTCAATAATAACCCTACCGTACACTTTTCCTGTTTGTTTGTTTTTTCCAACACGTCAGCCGTCTCCCACCGAGGCAGGGTGACCCAAAAAAGAACGAAAATCCCCAAAAAGAAAATGCTTTCATCATCATTCAACACTTTCACCACACTCACACATTATCACTGTTTTTGCAGAGGTGCTCAGAATACAACAGTTTAGAAGCATATACATATAAAGATACACAACATATCCCTCCAAACTGCCAATATCCCAAACCCCTCCTTTAAAGTGCAGGCATTGTACTTCCCATTTCCAGGACTCAAGTCCGACTATATGAAAATAACCGGTTTCCCTGAATCCCTTCACTAAATATTACCCTGCTCACACTCCAACAGATCGTCAGGTCCCAAGTATCATTCGTCTCCATTCACTCCTAACACGCTCACGCATGCTTGCTGGAAGTCCAAGCCCCTCGCCCACAAAACCTCCTTTAACCCCTCTCTCCAACCCTTTCGAGGACGACCCCTACCCCTCTTTCCTTCCCCTATATATTTATATGCTTTCCATGTCATTCTACTTTGATCCATTTTCTCTAAATGACCAAACCACCTCAACAACCCCTCTTCTGCCCTCTGACTAATGCTTTTATTAACTCCACACCTTCTCCTAATTTCCACACTCCGAATTTTCTGCATAATATTTACACCACACACTGCCCTTAGACAGGACATCTCCACTGTCTCCAACCGTCTCCTCGCTGCTGCATATACCACCCAAGCTTCACATCCATATAAGAGTGTTGGTACCACTATCCTTTCATACATTCCCTTCTTTGCCTCCATAGATAGCGTTTTTTGACTCCACATATACCTCAACGCACCACTCACCTTTTTTCCCTCATCAATTCTATGATTAACCTCATCCTTCATAAATCCATCCGCCGACATGTCAACTCCCAAGTATCTGAAAACATTCACTTCTTCCATACTCCTCCTCCCCAATTTGATATCCAATTTTTCTTTATCTAAATCATTTGATACCCTCATCACCTTACTCTTTTCTATGTTCACTTTTAACTTTCTACCTTTACACACATTCCCAAACTCATCCACTAACCTTTGCAATTTTTCTTTAGAATCTCCCATAAGCACAGTATCATCAGCAAAAACTAACTGTGTCAATTCCCATTTTGAATTTGATTCCCCATAATTTAATCCCACCCCTCTCCCGAACACCCTAGCATTTACTTCTTTTACAACCCCATCTATAAATATATTAAACAACCATGGTGACATTACACATCCCTGTCTAAGACCTACTTTTACTGGGAAGTATTCTCCCTCTCTTCTACACACCCTAACCTGAGCCTCACTATCCTCATAAAAACTCTTAAAAGCATTTAGTAACTTACCACCTATTCCATATACTTGCAACATCTGCCACATCTCCACTCTATCATATGCCTTTTCTAAATCCATAAATGCAATAAAAACTTCCCTACCTTTATCTAAATACTGTTAACATATATGCTTCAATGTAAACACTTGATCTACACATCCCCTACTCACTCTGAAGCCTCCCTGCTCATCCGCAATCCTACATTCTGTCTTGCCTCTAATTCTTTCAATTATAACCCTACCGTATACTTTTCCTGGTATACTCAGTAAACTTATTCCTCTATAATTTTTACAATCTCTTTTGTCCCCTTTCCCTTTATATAAAGGGACTATACATGCTCTCCGCCAATCCCTAGGTACCTTCCCCTCTTTCATACATTTATTAAACAAAAGTACCAACCACTCCAACACTATATCCCCCCCTGCTTTTAACATTACTGTCATGATCCCATCAGTTCCAGCTGCTTTACCCCCTTTCATTCTACGTAATGCCTCACGTACCTCCACCACACTTACATTCTGCTCTTGACTCAAGAAATCGTAATGACACGATTGCAAACAAACCATACCCCCGGCCGGGATTTAACCCGCGGTCATAGTTTCAAAACTCCAGCCCGTCGCGTTTGCCACTAGACCACTGTGCCTGTGCTAACCTTCCTATGGTGTAGAAATATACCTAGTTGGATGAATCTTATTGTGGCTAGCTGGTCTAGTGGCTAATGCGACGGGCTGGAGTTTTGAGACTATGACCTCGGGTTCAATCCCGGGCGGGGGTATGGTTTATTCTGCTCTTCTTCACTCCTAAAAGATGGTATACCTCCCTGGCCAGTGTATGAAATTACCGCCTCCCTTTCTTCCTCAACATTTAAAAGTTCCTCAAAATATTCTCGCCATCTACCTAATACCTCCCTCTCCCCATCTACTAACTCCCCTACTCTGTTTTTAACTGACAAATCCATACTTTCCCTAGGCTGTCTTAACTTGTTTAACTTGCTCCAAAATTTTTTCTTATTTTCATTAAAATTTCTTGACAGTGGCTCTCCCATTCTATCATCTGCTCTCCTTTTGCACTCTCTCACCACTCTCTTCACCTTTCTTTTACTCTCCATATACTCTGCTCTTCTTATAACACTTCTGCTTTGTAAAAACCTCTCATAAGCTAACTTTTTCTCTTTTATCACACCCTTTACTTCATCATTCCACCAATCACTCCTCTTTCCTACTGCACCCACCCTCCTATAACCACAAACTTCTGCCCCACATTCTAATACTGCATTTTTAAAACTATTCCAATCCTCTTCAACCCCCCCACTACTCATACTTGCACCAGCCCACCTTTCTGCCAATAGTTGCTTATATCTCACCTGAGCTTCCTCCTCCCTTAGTTTATACACTTTCACCTCCCTCTTGCTTGTTGTTGCCATTTTCCTCTTTTTCCCATCTACCTCTTACTCTAACTGTAGCTAAAACTAAATAATGATCCGATATTTCAGTTGCCCCTCTATAAACGTGTACATCCTGGAGCCTACCCATCAACCTTTTATCCAACAATACATAATCTAACAAACTACTTTCATTACATGCTATATCATACCTTGTATATTTATTTATCCTCTTCTTCATAAAATACGTATTACTTATATTACCAAATCTCTTTCTACACATAGCTCAATTAACAGTTCCCCATTTTCATTTACCCCTGGCACCCCAAATTTACCTACTATTCCCTCCACAACATTTTTGCCCACTTTAGCATTGAAATCCCCAACCACCATTACTCTCACACTTGGTTCAAAACTCCCCACGCATTCACTCAACATTTCCCAATATCTCTCTCTCTCTCCTCTACACTTCTCTCTTCTCCAGGTGCATATACACTTACTATAACCCACTTTTTCCATCCAACCTTTATTTAATTTAACTCCACATAATCCTTGAATTAATACATTTATAGTCCCTCTTTTCCTGCCATAACTTATCCTTCAACATTATTGCTACTCCTTCTTTAGCTCTAATTCTATTTGAAACCCTTGACCTAATCCCATTTATTCCTCTCCACTGAAACTCTCCTACCCCCTTCAGCTTTGTTTCACTTAAAGCCAGGACATCCAGCTTCTTCTCATGCATAACATCCCCCATCATCTCTTTCTTATCATTTGCACAACATCCATGCACATTCAGACTTCCCACTTTGACAGTTTTCTTATTATTATTCTTTTTAGTAATTATTACAGGAAAAGGGGTTACTAGCCCATTGATCCCGGCATTTTAGTTGACTTTTACAACACGCATGGCTTACGGAGGAAAGATTCTTATTCCACTTCCCCATGGATATAAAAGGAAAAGTAATAAGACCAAGAACTATTAAGATAAAATCAAAGAAAACTCAGATGAGTGTGTATAACTAAACATGTACATTTATGTCTAGTGTGACCTAAGTGTAAGTAGAAGTAGCAAGATGGTACGGTGTAATCTTGCATATTTATGAGACAGACAAAAAACACCAGGAATCCTACCATCATGTAAAACAATTACAGGCTTTCGTTTCACACTCACTTGGCAGGACGGTAGTACCCCCCTGGGTGATTGCTGTCTACCAACCTAATACACCTACACCACACCAGCCATTTCCCACCAAGGTAGGGTGACCCAAGAGAGGAAGCATTCACCATCATTCATTCAACAGTGGTCTTGCCAAAAGTGTCCAGACATTACAATTCAAATGATCCTTCTAACTACAACTTCCCACCCCTCCTTCAGAGGGCAAACACTAAACTTCCCATCTTCAGGACTTAAGTCTAACTGGTTTCCCTGAATCCCTCCATATATGTTACCTTGCTCTCACTCCAACATGAAAAAAATCCTTAAAACTTCTTGTCTCCCCTCACTCTGATCCATCGCACCCACACATGCATCCTTCATCCTCCATACCCTACCATCAACCCTTCCTGGAATGACACTACCTCTTTGTTTCACCCCAGATTTATACTCTTGGTCATCCTATTCTACTCCATCCTCTAAATGCTCCGACTGCCTCAACAACTCTCCTTTCCTCTGAATAATACCTTTCATTATCCCTCACCATTTAATTTCTACACTTCACATTCTTAGAATAATATTCACACCACAAACTACTTTCAAATGACATCTCTACAGCCTTCAATTTCCTCGCTGCTATGTTTAAGGCCCCATACCTTACGCCCACATAAAATCATTATACCGTTATACTCTGGTACCTCCTCCCCATTTTTCTCTAAATTAACAGTTATGCATACTCAGTAAAAGTTTAACAACAAACAGTAACAAAATCTGTCACAGCAAGCAAAACAATCATTTCACACCCTATATACAGTTTAAGATTTAAAAATTACATTTACAACTCAATAAAACTTACTTCAGTATCAGAAGAACTGGTAGACTGTCTTTCTGCTTCTAACTCCACTGGTTCAACACTTTTGTTGATATGGTGGTTTCGCTGTGGTTTAGTTTGTGGCAGAGGATGTGGGTGGTGCGTGTGTGAACTAATAGGACTTGGTTTGGGAGAGGCTGACTGAGGCCTCTCTACACGTGGAAAACCAGCCGAGCTGTTCACACTCTTGTTGCTAGCTACTGAATTTCGAGAAAGTTCAATTGCTATTCTCTGTTTAAAGGGGAAAAATGGAACTTTGTTAATCACCATTAACATTAACTCCTATGCAAATGAAATACTCTTCAAGCAAATTTTTCTTTGACAGCTTTATACAGTATAATTTGTATATACATATAATACTATACGTGTATTAAAACCATACCTCCTTAAGATTATTAATTTGCTGAATATACTGAGCTTGAAGTGTTTGAAGCTGATGAATATACCACAGCTGATCACGACATTTCTGGAAGAATGTAGGAGGCCTCACCTGAAACCTGTATTAAGAAAACATTAATCCGAGATTAAAACTGATTAATATCTTCATCATAAGAACATAAGAAAGAAGGAACACTGCAACAGGCCTTCTGGTCTATGCGAGGCAGGTCCAATTCTCCTACTGGTTTAAGCCAATGCCTCGACCTAGTGAGGTCAGACACGTCACTTAACCCTTCAACTGTCCAAACATAGATCTACATTTTCATGCGTAGCACTCCGACCTTGATTTTCTCCATAAGAAAGCATGTAAAAAACATAGATCTACGTTCAGAGCGCTACACGAGCAAACATAGATCTATGTTAAGGGAGGAGCACGGTATCCAACCTAGTAGCACAAGCTAGTCAGGTCCAACTCACACCCACTCATGTATTTTTTTTTTTTCAACAAACCGGCCGTATCCCACAGAGGCAGGGTGGCTCAAAAAGAAAAACAAAAGTTTCTCTTTTTAAATTTAGTACGTAATTTATACAGAAGAAGGGGTTACTAGCCCCTTGCTCCTGGCATTTTAGTCGCCTCTTACAACATGCATCGCTTACGGAGGAAGAATTCTGTTCCACTTCCCCATGGAGATAAGAGGAAATCATGTATTTTATCCAACCTATTTTTAAAACTACACAACGTCTTAGCTTCTATGATGGTACTCAGGAGTTTGTTCCACTCATCCACAACTCTGTTACCAAACCAGTGCTTTCCTATATCCTTCCTGAATCTAAATTTTTCCAATTTAAAGCCAATGCTGCAAGTCCTATGTTAGGCATTTTTAGCATGCTATTTACATCCCCTTTATTAATTCCTGCTTTCCATTTATACACCTCAATAACATCCTTCCTAATTCTATGCCTTTCTAGAGAGTTCAGATTCAGGTCCCTCAGTCTATCCTCATAGGGAAGATTTCTGATACATGGGATCAACTTTGTCATCTCCTTTGTAAGTTTTCCAGTGCATTTATATCCATTCTGTAATACGGTGACCAAAACTGTGCAGCATAATCTAAATGAGGCCTAACCAAAGATATATAGAGTTGAGGAACAACCTGAAGACTTCTATTATTTATACTTCTTGCTATGAAGCCAAGGATTCTGCTAGCTTTATTGCGAACACTTATGCACTGTTGTCTTAGTTTCAGAGTACTGCTAACCAGAACTCCTAAATCCTTTTTGCAATCCATAATATTAAGATCTACATTGTTTAGTTCATATGTGGCATGGTTATTTTCCTGTCCAACATTTAGAACTTTGCATTTGTCTATATTAAACTGCATCTGCCACTTCCCCGACCACTGCAGCAGTCTATTCAAATCATCCTGGAGTGCTCTAATGTCCTCGTCCTCAACCCCCAGAGTTTCTTCCCCAAATGAAATGATTCCTGACAGAAAAGCCTTTGAAACAACCATACAAGAAGTTATTTTCCAACTTTTCTTACTGTCTTGCAAACCCTTCCCTACACCTAACCCCTGACACCCACCCTCACCACCCCAGTATAAATGCTCATCATTATCAATCCTTCACCCTAGTCATTTTACCAAGGAACACCCATAGCTCTGAGATGCTTAATTACCCCTCCCCCACAAATACTCCATACCAATAATTTTCCCATCAAACTAATCCATACCCCCCAATGATGCTACACCCCAATCACCCAGCCACCCCCTTGGCCCCTTCCTTGACCCACAACCCAAACCTTAACCCCAACTTCAAAAATCAAATCCCACCATTCCCATAAGATTTCAGTTTCCTCCTAAAATCAGCCATATAGAAAGCAATGGAGAAATTTACAACAAAGTAATGTGCAGTATACTATACAGACAGGATCTCAAACAAGATCCGAGAGTGTAATGAATACCATTAACGTTAAGATTTGTGAATACATGTACAAGAAAGCTCAGACCTCACTGCAGTGACAAACTAAGCTACAGTGGAACCTTGGTTTTCGTGATTAATCCGTTCTAAAAAGTCTGATGAAAACCGAATTGTACAAAAACCAAAGCAACATTTCACATAAGAAATACAGTGGTCCCTCGTTTATCATCGTTAATCCGTTCCTGGAAGTGCGACGATTATCGAAAAAGATGATTTTCGAATAAATTTTCCCCATAAGAAATAATGTAAATACATATAATCCGTTCCTGACACCCAGAAGTATTAAAACAAAAAAAATATTTTACATGAAATATAGATGTAATACATAAATAATACAATGGGACATGATGAATGAAACATTAACAACATAACACTTACCTTTATTGGTGATTCTTCTTAGTGTATGGAAGACTGGAGGAGGAGAGAGATTGGATTAGTTACTGTTTGGAAGGGGAATCCCCTTCCATCAACACCTCAGGTACCAAGTCCTTTTCTGGGGTTACTTCTCTTCTCTGTTTCTTAATGCCACTAGGACCAGCTTGAGAGTCACTGGAGTCCTGTCTCGCAAAAAAAGTGTCCAGAGAGCTCTGTTTCTGGCGTCTCTTTAAAACTTCCCTAAAATGGGCCAAGACTGTACAAGTTGCCGACATGGCTTGCAACATCCTTCTCAGGGTGATGTTTCTCCATAAATCTTTCCATCCTACCCCACATTTCAAAAATCTCCTTAATTTCTGAAGAAGGCACCTTCTTCCATCTCTCTTCCTCCTCCTCTGCAGCAAGATTCTGAGCTGCAATCTGTTCCTGTTCCTTCCACATCCTCCAAACTCACATCCAACCCCATGCAACTCCCCAATGCCACAATAGAGTTCACAACTGACATAGGCTCATCAGGGTCAGCCACAAACCCTTCAAAATCCCTCTTGTGGACACAATCTGGCCACAATTTTCTCCAAGCAGAGTTCAAAGTCCTGGTAGTCGCTCCCTCCCAAGCATTACCTATAAGGCTTATGCAATGGAGGATACTGAAGTGTTCTTTCCAAAACTCTCTTAGGGTCAAGTGAGTGTCTGAGGTCACATTAAAGCACTTTTGAAACATTGCTTTGGTGTAGAGTTTTTTAAAGTTTGAAATGACCTGCTAGTCCATGGGCTGGAGGAGAGGAGAGGTATTTGGGGGCAAGAACTTTACTGTGATGAACCCAAGCTCCTGCAGAATTAGGTCATCCAAGTTTGGAGGATGAGCAGGTGCATTGTCCATTACTAGGAGGCACTTGAGATCCAATTTCTTTTCCAGGAGGTAATTCTTCACACTAGGGCCAAACACTTCATTGAACCACTCGACAAAAATTTCCCTTGTGACCCATGCCTTATTATTAGATTTCCAAAACACACACAATTTACTCTTCATAACACTTTTTCCTGAACACTCTGGGATTTTCAGAATGGTACACTAGTAATGGCTTCACTTTGAAATCCCCACTAGCATTAGCACAGAACATGAGTGTCAGCCTGTCTTTCATAGGCTTCTGTCCAGGCAGTCCCTTTTCCTCCTGAGTAATGTAGGTCCTCCTTGGCATTTTCTTCCAAAAGAGCCCTGTTTCGTCACAAATGAACACTTGTTCAGGTTTCAGTCCTTCAGCCTCTATGTACTCCTTGAATTCACTTACGAATTTTGTACCTGCAATTTTGTCCGAACTGGCAGCCTCACCATGCCTTATCACGTTGTGTATGCCACTACAGTTCTTAAATCTCTCAAACCAACCTTTGCTGGCCTCAAATTCACCAATATCAGTACTCGTTGCAGGCAATTTCTTTACCAGATCGTCATGCAATTGCCTAGCCTTTTCACAAATAGTCAACGTCATAAGACTATTTCCTGCTAATTGTTTCTAGTTTATCCACACCAATAACTTCTCAACCTCTTCGAGTACTGGTGATCTCATTTTTGTCAGCATATTTACCCCCTTTGCAACAACAGCTTCCTTGATTTCCTTTTTCTTGGCCACGATGGAAGATATGGTTGTACGGGATTTGTTATACATCCTGGCCAGTTCAGCCACACATACGCCACTTTCATATTGTTCAATGATGTTTTTTTAAATTCAATCGTATTTCTCACCTTCTTTACCAAAGGCTTGGCACTAGGAGCTTTCTTTGGAGCCATGGTAGCTTATTTAGCACTTGCAAGCACTAAAATGAATGGAATATTATGAAATATTTCGTATGAACACGTGAGGGGACCATCGCTCACTGGCAAACAATGCCACACTGGCTGGGAAGGAAGGCCGAGGTGGCTCAGAGCCGTGAGTACGCGTCCAGGACAACCGACAATTTGCGAGCCAATGTTTGGACTAAAATAACGTGATGATTTCCGAAAAGGACGACTATCGAGCCCAATGATTATTGAGGGACCACTGTAATGTAAATCTAATTAATCCGTTCCAGACACCCAAAAATACAGTGGACCCCCGCATAACGATCACCTCCGAATGCGACCAATTATGTAAGTGCGTTTGCACGTGTATGTTTGGGGGTCTGAAATGGACTAATCTACTTCACAATATTCCTTATGGGAACAAATTCGGTAAGTACTGGCACCTGAACATACTTCTGGAGTGAAAAAATATCATTAACCGGGGGTCCACTGTATTAACAAAAAATACATTTGAGAGAGAATAACTATAGTTTTACATACAGAAAACAATGAAAAATAAATATAAGGCACTAATGAAGTGGATAAATGAACATTTAACATCACTTTTACCTTCACTGAAGACTCTTGTTGGCATATAAAGACAGCAAGGAGGGGAGAGGGAGGAGGAGAGGTTATTGTTTGAAATGGGAATCCCTGTCCATAAGGAATTCAGGTATCAAGGCCCTATCCGGGGTTACTTCCCTTCTTTGTCTTTTACTGGCACTAGGACCAGCTTGAGTCACTGCACCAATGTCGCACAAAAAAAAAAATGTCCAGAGAGGTCTGTTTCTGGAGTCTCTAAGATTTGCCCAAGATGGGACAAGTTGCAGACATGGCTTGCAACAGCCAGTTTGCTTCTTGAATGTGTCGAACCAGCCTCTGTTGGCCTTAAGTTCACTAAAAGAAGCCCTTATTCCAGGCATTTTCTTTGCAAGATCAGCATGCAACTGCCTTGCCTTTTCGCAAAGTATCACCTCCGAAACACTATCTCCCAATAACTGTTTTTCGTAGATCCACACCAACAACAACTTCTCAACATCTTCGATTGTTTGCGATCTCTGTTTCGTTAGCACATTTACCCCATTCGCAACATCAGCTTCCTTGATTTATTTTTTCTTCGCCAGGATGGAACCGATTGTTGATGCCGACTTCCCATACATCCTGGTGAGATCGGCCATGCGTATGCCACTTTCATACTTCGCTATGAGTTCTTTCTTGAATTCTATTGTGTGTCTCATCTTCTTTATCAATAGGCTGGCACTTGGAACTTTCTTTGGCCCCCATGGTGGCTTATTTAGCAGTTGCACTCAATAAACAAGCACAAAACACAATGGATTATTATCCAATGTTTCAGATGAACGTGTGGGGTGATGCTCACTCAATGAGAAAAAAGGCAGACTGAGTCACGAACGCATAGGTTGCTTTGTGTGGGCACATGGGTGGCGGAGTCGCACAGATGCGTTTGGTACAGACCATTTTCAACTCTACGAAAACCGAGCAGATGTAAGAAAATGGACAAAATTTTGACGAAAAAATTCGCCAAAAACCGAATCCTAAGAAAACTGGGACATACGAAAACCGAAGTTCCACTATATCTGAAAAAGATCAGAAATGTGATTCTTGCCAAAATACTACTTCATACTAATACTAATCAGGAATGACTGGAGATTCAAGAAAGTGCCTATTGTGGACTACTACTCAAATTATGTAAGTAGAGCACCAAACTAAGAAGGTCCAAGGGTTTTCCTGGCTGTCACCTACAATCCATCACCAACTAAACAAGTACAAATAAATAATTACATCTTCTTTCAACAAACTGGCTGTATCCCACCAAAGCAGGGTGGCCCAAAAAGAAAAACAAAAGCTTTAACTTTTTAACTTTAGTAATGTATACAGAATAAAGGGTTACTGGCCCCTTGCTCCCAGCATGTTAGTCGCCTCTTATTACACGCATGGTTTATGGAGGAAGAATTCTATTCCACTTCCCCATGGAGATAAAAGGAAATTAACAAGAACTAGTAAGAAAATAGGAAACCCAGAGGGGTGTGTATATATATGCTTGCACGTGCAAGTGTAGTGTAACCTAAGTGTAAGTAGAAGTAGCAAAACATACCTGAAATCTTGCATGTTTATGAGACAGAAAAAAGACACCAGCAATCCTACCATCATGTAAAACAATTACAGCTTCCATTTTACACTCACTTGGCAGGACGGTAGTACCTCCCTGGGCGGTTGCTGTCTACCAACCTACTACCTATAAGTAATTACATGGATCATTACTTTATTCTAAAGTATTACAAGATATCACTAAATAGTGGCATACCCAATAAAAATAAGAAAATTTATAAAAATGATTTTCACTAATATATTAGGCTTCCAGAATTTCTCATGATAGATCAATGACCTACTTGAAGTCAGTGTCAAGAGTGCTTCTACTGAAGACCCTGTCTAGCATGGTGGACCAGTAGCCTAGAATGGTTGACCAGTAGGTCTACTGCAGTTCTTCTCTATACAGTACTTATGTTCACAACCTAGTTTGAGGTTAGGCTTTTCTGCAGACTACCATGTCATCCTTAACTACTGGCACACTATCATTAGATAAGCCTTAGTCTTACCTGAGTATAAGTGTGTCTGTTTCTGTATTCAAGTAGC